TTATTATAATCCTCATTCCATAAGTTTTCTGGCTTAGGTAAAGTAACACCTTCAACTACATATGTCACCGGTGTTGGACCATTTTGAATGGCTTCCTAAACACCTTTATCATATGAGTTGACATAATTTTCATACAAACTTTCCAATAACTATAATTTTATCCCGTAAAAATTGGGGCTCTTTTATAATCCCCTTTAGATTTGTAAGACATTGTCTAATGAGTGTCAAAGTCGAAATGAATGGGGCTCATGATACCACTTGTTAGACGATGACAACATATCTAGAGGGGGTGAATAGATACCCAATTAAAAATTCCAGAAAAATTTGGTTTTGAAAAATTTATTTAACAAAGAGTTTGAGCTGAGGTTTTCAAAATAAGTCGTTTATACGAACCATTATTGGAAACTCGAATATGAAAATATAAAAAATTTAATATGGAATGACATTGATAATTGGAATTAATAGCTTCAATCAATTTACAGCTTATTTAAAGTTTATAGCAAGTTACTAGTAATGTTATTTCCAATGATAACAAGCAAAAGACTAAACAAAACAATTTGTCGAACACTTGGTGTGCAACACAGTTTTCAGAATTTTCTTTTGATTTAAGAAAGCTAAGAAATTTGCCAAACACTTGGTGTGAAATCAAAGTTTCAGAATTTTCCTATTGAGTTATGTTGATATGAAAAAGAACTTATAGTGAAAAGTGATTGTAAGTTAATCAACATACAATCTAAAACCAAAAACAGTTTCAGAATATTCCTACGCGTCGATGGATAATGCAATACTATTTGGAAAATAGATATATGAGAATTAAAGCAATTAAAGCAATAAAATAAAAGATACATGGGGATTTTTCTTCACAGTTCCCCACTTTCGTCCTCGTGTGTGGGTACGTCTGCGCCTAATTCCAATGGAATTAGGATAATTCTTACTATGCAAAAATTTGATACAAGATAAGTGTTTAAGAGAAACTCCACAAACCATAATGCTTGTTGTTGATTCAACCCCTTATCCTTTTTTTATCTTGTGCAAGACCAAGACACAATAGATCCCAATGAGTTGTCGATATTTCTATTCCTTTGTGTTCTTAATCTCCAAAGCTTTCGCGCACGAACGATCAATTATATCTATTGAAACACAAGACTTTAATTATGATATGCCTTTCTCTCGCTACTTCCTTTGTGTTCTTTATCTCCAAATGATCCTTTGTGTTCTTTATCTCCAAAGGGCTTCACTTGGCCTAAATCCACTTTTGAATGTCTTTCCCGAAAACCCCCAAATCAATCAATGATCTTGGAGGACAAACTTGCGGTTTTTCCTAGATGAAGACCCTCAAATTCTCAACCTGATATACTCGGCTACACAAGAATCTAGTCAAACTCTATCAACCCTCGTCTATATGGAACCCTAACAAAAGATCGTTACAATGGAATGTCAATGTGTATGCATAAATTGGAGGTTGAAAGTGAAGAGCAATTGCAGAAAAAATTTATGGTATCATCAACTTGGAATGATGTATGAAAGGTGTATTTATAGTTATGGAAATATTAGAGCAAAAGAGGGGAATTCGGAATTAAAAGAAAATAGAAAGTTTTATGCTTGAAACTGTATGAGTTGGCCTATAGCTTGTATGAATCAGCTCATAGTGTTAATTTTAACAGCATGAGCCAACCTGAAATGGCCTATGAGCCTACCTAAACAAGGCACAAGCAAACTTCTTATTTAGAGCAGCACATGTGCGGGCCTGAACAAGACAATGGAAAATTGATTATCCAGAGCAGCACATGTGTCGGCCTGTAAGGCATTATGAGCCGACCAGAAATATAATTTTTAGTGCAAAAATGAATTTTTCAGTGCTCAAATGATTTTTCAGGACATGGAAAGTTTTAACTATGTTTTAACTAATTCCTAATACTTCTAAATACTTATATATGCATAGAGTAAGACTTAGAAATACATAAGATTCCATATAAACTCAGAGATACCGCCCAATATACAGAACCATCTATATTCATATAGTTTTGACATCATGCAAAACCTATCCAGAGACAAGTTGCACTCACAGAGTTGAGTATTGTTCTTAGTTAAGAGTCTTAAATAAGTATTTTATTTGAAGTGTAATCTTCTATTGGGTTTTCCCTTGTTCTATTTATTGTGATTGTAACTGGTATATAGACTGCCACTGGGATTGTGGTAGGTCTTTTATCACTGAAGTGATTGGAAGTGAGATGGTGATTTTTCATATCTAGGAGGTTCTTAGATAGAAGTTTCACATGGTAGGGATTAAGCGAGAAGTTGTAAATTGGACTGTTTAGCTTCGAATTAATACTACCGATAATAAATTTCCTTCTTGGCTTGGTAGCCCCCAGAGTAGGTGAGTTGCACCGAACTGGGTTAACAATTGATTGTGTTCTTTATCATTCTACATACTATTTCAGTTTGATATTGTTGTCCAGTCTGGAAGATGTCGTAACATATGTTGTGACATCATGTTCTGATGTTGAAAAACATCAATATGAACATGTTGTGTACCAGTGCCAAAATTTCATAAATAATCCTTTATGAGTGAAAATTTCACTGAATAATTGATTATCCATAATTCTTATCGATTATCTAAATTATAAAGCCTCGTAATCGATTAATAAGATTGATGGTTGATTAGTAACGATGAAATTTGAAAACTTTCCATATTTACATACATAACCTATTATTACTATGACATAATCAATTATGAGCATTAAAAAGCTCATGGATTATTTTCCTTTTTGAGCTATATTTCCCCCAAAATAAGGATGGTGCCTCCTCACTATTACATACACTTGAATTCAATTTTAAATCATTCTTATATCTTTTTAACCTCTTTTTCTTTTATTCTTTCTTTCACTAAAAGTTACCTTTGTGAGTGAAATACATTTGTGAGGTATTAGTTATATTGGTGTTCAACTATTTTATCAAGAGTGTGATTTTATTCAATTATCTCTTTGTTTGTTTTTGAGGTTGTCCTTGCAAAACTTCTATTTGGTTTCTAAAATTAGTCGGTCAAAATCTCATTCTTGGTTCATGAGGTTAGCCAATGAAAAACTATACTTGATTTAATGGTCTAGTCTGTTAAAATCTCCCAATCGATTATAATAAGGTTTGTGGGCATAACCTAGAAAAGTCAAAAAAACATTTTATTAGCGTAACTCTCAAAAAGTTTGTTTCTTTAAGAAAAGATTATGCCAAGATATCGGTCGAACTTCTATAAATATTGGTGCCATCTCTCTTAGCTCTCTCTATTTACTTTCAATCATTTATTTTCCTTATGTTTCCTTCTTTCTATTTCCTACTACTGTCTCTATTTTAACTATACTAACACAAACTATTGTTTTTAGTAATAAACCAACAATTAATCATGACTTTTGAATACAACAAGTCACCTCTTGTTCTTGGAGTCATTAGTTTAACACATACCTTACAATGTTCCATACTGCACTTAAGTACACATTACCTTATGGGGTACCGCGTTTCTCTAATTAACGTTAGTGTATTGAAAGACAATGTAATTGAATAAGTTTAACTTATTTATTTTATCCCCTCGATATTTTCTTATGTTTGTGACCCTAAATGTTCTCATGATGTTGACAATTACATCAAATAAAACATTTAATATAATAAATAATTGACGGTTATCACACCGTGAAAAAAACACATAGTCGCCACCAAACTTTATTTATTCTGAAGGAAAGGGAAGTCATCAATAAAACCCCATGAGGAAGGATAATATAGTCAACGAAACCAAGATAAGGATACGAAAGTCGGTTATACAAGGGGAAGGTATTAACACCCCTCACATCTGTTGTACTCAACGAGATCCACTTTGGTTGTTTATTTCTAAGGGTATGTATATCTAAAGTTATAACTCGCTAAGAATATATGAATGAATTATTGAGAAAAAGAAAAGGTTTTTATTATTGACTTCACCCAGGTTTTGAAACCCAATACCTGCGTATCCCCATGGTGCAATGAAGAATTAAAACTTCGTAGTTCTTCTAAAAAATGTTGGTTTGTTTGGTGCTTTTTAATGGACAATGTTAAATTTCACGTTCTAGTATTAGATGTTGTTGCTCGCTGTGTGGAGACTCACACATTACCTATATTGCGGTAGACTGGAAGTAACATTGCCCTTTTGAAAAGGTTTAAAAGAGAAAAGTCAAGAGGCAAAAGAGTTTGGATTTGTTAAAGTGTTTTGTTAGGAGATCCTTCAAGTGTTCCATCGGGGTACTTGAACCATCTCCTTTAGTTTTGAAATTATTTGAGATACATATTATACTCAAGTCTATGACATGAGAGACTTTGAATGATCGAGTCAAACTCCCCGAATTCAAAGTTCTCTTCATATGCTTAAGGCTCATAGCATATTTATATGTATCGTATTTTATTAGTGTTTTGAATTTGATAAAGAATTTTTTTTTATTTTAATAAAAGAAAAGAAATACAATGCAAAGGAGAAAAGTAAAACAAAAGGAAAAGTCTACCCTAATGTTATCATGCATCATTGACTTAAAATTGAGATCAAAAGAATTCTATCTAATTGTTGTCATGCTTGAATTACAACCTAAAGTCTATGTTCAATTCAATTTAATCAAGGATCATCACAAGCTATTAAAAACTCATCAAGAATCAACAAGGGATCATGGAATAGTTTTTGAATTAAAATCAACATGAAAATTAAAGAAAAGAAAATCAAATCAAATACATGCCAAAAATAATATCTTAAGGCCATAAGTATTCTCAATTATTTTTATCATTTTTTTTCTCCAGAGAATGACGACGCGTGAGGTGCGATAGTGCTTGCAGTCACAGAGAGATGGAGTGATGAAGAATGAGAAGCGATGGTTGAGAAGATGAAATGTGATGTTGAGAGGTTGAAGGAGAGTGAGAGTGAGAGAATCTCTGGGGTTGAGAGGGGAGGAAGAGGCTCCTGAAATTCAGAGAGAAGGCGAAGGTTGAAAGTGATGAACTCTGAAAATGGTGAAAATGAGTGCGTGAAGAAGAAGAATGAGGTGAAGGCAGTTTTTATAGTTGGTTGAAGGTTGAAGTTAGTTAGAAGAGAAGCAATCTGAACCATAGGATCTTAGAAGTCAGTTATGAAATGAAGAGTGAGGATGAGAGTTGGTTATGGAGATTTGATTCAGTTAGATGTTAACTTCCGTTAGTTCTGTTAGTAACTGCTAGTGAAGTTTATGTTAGCAGTTAGTTATGTTTGTTTTCAGTTAAGTAGTTATGTTAGGGTTTCTGTTAGTTATTGTAAGTTGTGTAGTTTTTGAATGAGATTAAAGCTAGGTTTGGGTTAATGAGTGAAGTGAGTTAATGGTTTCTATGTTATATGGACTGATCTGAGTTTGGATTTTAAATGAGTTGAGTACTGATGCAGTGAACTGGTGTGGATTACTTGGATTAAATGCAGTGAATTGTTTTCTGAATTGATTTTGATAGACTGTAGGCTATGCTGAACAGCTCTTGATCTATTTTTTGGTTAATTGTTGTTGATTGTTAATGGTTAAAGGATGGTTGTTTTGATATGTACATGTGCAGGGCTGCAATTAGTTTGCTTCTAATTTTGTGATGACATTGGTTATTTGGACAGGTTTTCATGGTAGGGCGGGAACTTTGGTTTATTTGTTTGACATGTTTATGGACAGGTTTTGTTTGTAGATGTACCAGGTTGTGCAGGGCACGGTTGGCATTTGAATTAGACTGAAGCATGTGAATCTACCTTGGTTTTATTGTTTGGATTTTAATTGTTTGGTTTAGTGTAGATGTAGGTCATGGTTGGGACTGGACTGTTTTGATGTTTGGAACTGGTATTGCTTGGTATTTGTGTGTGTTGCATGTTATAGCCATGGCAGATGATGGTTCTTAAATGTTGAATACTGCAAGATTTGACACAGAGGTGCGATGCTGGTTGATGACAGATGCATGTTGTGTATGTTGCAGTTGGGTGATGATGCAGGGTCAGTTTGGCACAACAGGTTGAAGCATGGCTTAGATTTTCATGATGAAGATGTATCATGGCTTAATTGTAGCTTTAGGACTTAGAATAAAATATGAAATCACTGTTTTAAAACCAAGCCCGACCCGGCCGGTCGGACCGGTCTGACCGAGAACCGGTGGGTCAGGCGGTCCGATTAAGGGATAAGACCGGAATTACATTTAGACCGGATGAAACTGGTGTGAATCGGCAGGATCACCGGTTAAACCAGTGAACCGGCGGTTTTTACTGAACCGACGGGTTTGACTATTTATTTTATTTTTTAGGGCTTTTGAAAAAAAAAAAAACATAAACGCTCTGCCTCCTCGTTTCCCAAACCTAGGCATTTGAAATGTTTTCTTTTTTATTCTGTCTTTTCTTTTTCTAATTGAAGTCATATTCTCAATTTTCTCTACCAACAAAAACTCCCACTTGCTGCTGTTATTTGATATTCCTTGTTTGCCGTCAAAAATTTCACAAAAACATCAAAAGCAGGTTATTTCTTTTTTACTTGGTCTAATTTGCATTGATGTTTTTCAATATGAATATTATTGTTTCATTTTGTTGATTAATTGATATAGAAAATAAATGATTAAATTTGATCATTTTCTATAAAATTGGGTCTTTTAGTTTAACAAATTGAGATAGAATTTGTATGAATGAAGCAGTTTTATACTTTTATGAATTAACTTATTATAGACTGGTAATGAAGTTGTTGTATATTGGAGATAGAAATTGGGATAGATATATATTACTGTAATAGTCGTTGTATATATTATGGAGATAGAAATTGAGTTTAAAACTATGTAATCTAAATTATATAGTAAGACAAAGTTTTTTTTTTTTTTTATTAATTTAAATTATATAACAAAGAAAAATTTCAGGATTTTATTAATCTAAAATATATAGCATAGGCTGGAAAGCAAAGTTTCTATTTTTTTATTATATATGGTGATGCACAATAACGATGCTTGGTGGCCTATATGTAATATACAACAACATATTCATATATTTTGGATTTAGATATGCTACATATTTAATGTTTCTTATAATGTTTTTATAAATTCAATAATTTTTGTTTAGAATTGTGTTTTGTTAATATTTTTGTAATATAGTTTTGTATTTTTAAATTTTGATTGATATTAGATATGACATCACCCGCTGAAGTAATAACTTCGGAAGAAGTTACATCTCAAAATCCAACCCAACTCCAGAGCAGTAGGGGAAAAACTGATATAGCTTGTGGTCATTGTAAACAAATTGAAGAGAAAGGAAAACTTATTAATTTGTGTATTTACTGTGATAAAATTATTAGAGGAGGGGTATTAATAGGTTCAAATTCCATTTGGCTGGAATAAAATATCAAGTTGAAACATGTAAAAAGGTGCCTCCAGATGTTCAATATCAAATGAAACAAAATCTTGATGAAGGTGCAAATAAGAGAAGAAAGACTCAAGCACAAAATTTTGATGTTGATCTTACTACTCAAGAGGGTGGTGTAGTAGAAATGGATGTAGAACAATCAAGATCAAATTCAGTGATTGTGTCTCAAAAGAGAAAGAATACTAGTCGTATTGGTAATTATTTTATGCCTAGAACAACTCCTGGAGCTCAACCTTCTTTAAAAAGTGTGTTACAAAGTAAGAAATTGGTGGAGAAGTGTGATCTAGTTATTGCAGGATGGTTCGTTGATTCTTCTGTGCCATTCAATGCAGCTAATTCTGCGTATTTTCAATCTATGACTGATGCACTTTGCAGCATGAGTCTGGGGTATAAAGTTCCAACTATGCATAGTCTTCGTGGCTATTTGTTAAATAAATGGGTTGAAGATGTGAACAAATTGATAGAGGAGTATCGTGAGATTTGGAAGAAAACTGGTTGTACTCTAATGGCCGATGGATGGACTGATCGAAAAAGAAGAACTCTTATAAACTTTCTAGTTTATTGTCCCAAAGGTACTATTTTTCTAAAATCCGTTGATGTTTCGCATGCTTCAAAAACTGCAGATATGTTGTATAGGCTTTTTAGAGAGGTGGTTTTATTTGTTGGGCCTGAAAATGTAGTTCACATAGTGACAGATAATGCTGCAAATTATGTTGCTACTGGAAGGTTATTAGAAAATGAGTTTCCTACTTTATTTTGGTCTCCTTGTGCGGTACATTGCATTAACTTGATGTTGCAAGACATGGGAAAATTAGAGGAAGTAAGTGAGACAGTGTCACATGCTTCTAATGTTACCAAATATATTTATAACCATTGTTATGCATTGTATTTAATGAGAAAGCAAACAGGTGGAAGAGAAATCCTTCGTCCTGCTCCAACTCGATTTGCCACTAATTTCATTGCTTTGCAAAGTATTTTGTCTCACAAAAACTCACTAAGAGCCATGGTAATATCTAAAGAATGGACAAGCTCAACATATACCAAAGAAGAAAAGGCAAAACAATTTGTGGATCAAGTTTTAGATTCTGGATTTTGGAGTAAATGTGCTGATGTAGTTAAACTCACTGAACCACTTGTGCGTGTGTTGCGTATTGTTGATAGTGAAGATAAACCTGCTATGGGCATTCTATACAAATCTATAGTCAAAGCTAGAGAGGATATGGTGAGGAGGTTTCAAAGAAATAAGAAGAAAGTGGATCCTTACTTGAAAATCTTAGATAAACGTTGGGATTCACAGCTCCGCAAAAATCTTCATGCTGCCGGTTATTGGTTGAATCTAGCTTGTAGATATAATGATGTAGAAATTGAAAAATATGCATCCACAACATCAGGACTTTTATATGTCATTGAAAAGCATGTTAATGGAAATTCTGAACTTCGATTGAAGTTAACAGATGAGATGAGAATATTCAAAGACGGTGAATTAGATTTTGGAAGGAAATCAGCCGTGGATGAACGATGTATTGTGAGGGCAGGTAATTTCATAACTTCTAACTCTTGATATATATATTTTATTTTATATTTCAATATGTTTATAAATTTATTTAATCACATGGTATAAACAGATCAATGGTGGGAAACTTATGGCACTTGTACACCAACTTTGCAAAGATTAGCTATTTGTATTTTAAGTCAAACTTGTAGTGCTTCGGGTTGTGAATGCAATTGGAGTATATTTGAGCATATTCATTCCAAAAAAAGAAATAGATTGGAGCACCAAAAGCTTAATGATTTAGTGTTTGTTCGTTACAACTTGAGACTTCAAAATAGGTATTATTATGGTTATTTTTCTCTGATCATTATATTTTTATATTTAAATACATATACTTAGATTTAATTCATGTGTGCTTTGGAAAATAAGAAATGAGAGTTATGATCCTATCAATGTTGAAACAATTTCTGACCATTCTAGTTGGGTATTAGAGGATTCACCACCTCTCTTAACCAATGAAGAGTTGGAAGCATTGCGGAATGACCTTGCAAATATGACCATCCAACCAATTTTAAGTGATATTCGTATGTTCTAATATGAGCATAATATAGTTTGTGGTTATGAATCAATTTAATGTCTCATATTTACCATCTCTAAAAAAATTTTGTTAATTATTTTTTAAAATATTGTTATAGATCAAATAGATTTAGATGAGGATGAAGATGGAGATATGGGTAATGCACAAGATACTATTGTTGATACTGTGAATCAAGAAAAAAGCAACACCAGAGAAGGTGAAGTTGGTGGAGAAGACAATGAAGTTGAAGATGGATATGAATATCAAGATTATGACAATTTGACTTCATGGACATAAAAAATTATGGATCGTTGAGTATGGATTTTTGTGACTTATTAATAATACTATAACTTATGAATTGTTAGTTTCTATCACTTCTTTGAATTTATAATTTGCTACATTAAGTTTCTATCACTTATTTTGATTGTTACTAATACTTTTGTTTATTCTAAATTATTTGAATTTATAATTTTCTATATTATTGTAGTTACAAATGTCAGGTAATGAATATATTTTTTATAGAAACCGGGTCAAAAGCCATGCGGTCTGACCAGTGACCCACTGGTTCGACCAGTAACCCAGTGACCCAGTAACTTTACCGAATCGATCACCGGTCTGGGTTTTAAAACATTGTATGAAATGTTTGGATTGTATACTGTTTTTGGACAAAAATTGCTTGGGTTTATGTAGCTTTAGGTGTTTTAGTCAACTTAGAAACTAGAGCTAGGTCTTGTAACACCTTTTGTAATGCTCCCAAGTGTAACACATTTTTGCAAATGAACATGAATGATCCTTGGATGATGGAGCTTTGATGAATAAAACCAATGTTTGGATGTAATTTTGAACAATGTTATGACTTGTCACCTTTTCCAATGATTTCCCTATTTCCAAATTGCCATGCTACCTTTGAATGTTTTTTCTTGTCGCAATGTTCTTAAAACTTTAACCTCTTGACATCATAAAAGAACTCAAGGACAAATGCTTGTGAATCGTGCCATTGGATTAACCTTTGCAACATTGAATCCATAACATATTAGGTGGATATTTAAATGAAAACTTAGGTCAAAAGTCTTCTTCATGCCTTAGTGATCCACCAAGATTAATGCGTGCCTCACATATTGTAGCCGGGGTCTCAAACCAATGAAATCATCTTTATTTTTCCTACTTGTTTCCAAGATCTTTTCCTTTATATATTGATGGCATGATGATATGATGAAATTTGAGACCATGGTGCTTTGATCTTGTAAAAGAAAACATGTTTTATGAACCCTTGAACTCAAACGGTACTTCCTTCAAAAGATTCAAAGTGATATTCTTTTTCAAATTTAGAACTTGACTTCTCAACCTTCTTTGAATTTGCATCTATGTATGAATCATTATGCCTTGCTCTTGAATGAACCATTGGACATGTCTTGACTATTGAAAAATCACCATCTTTAA